GCTGCGGTGAAACGAGAGCACACATTGCTCTTAAAGGAGGCAGCCGTGCCCTGGCCAGTGTGGCCCCGTGGTCAGAGCCTGGGCCTGGGCACCGAAGGGTCGTGGGTTCCACTGCCGGTCAAGGGCACGCATCTCAGTTGCAGGTTCGGTCCCCGGCCCTGGTTGGGGCGGGTGTGGGAGGCAACCGATCGATGTCTCTCTCTCAAATCGATGTTTCTCTCTTTCTCTCCCTCCCCCTCCTTCCCTCCCTTCCGCTCTCTCTAAAAAGCAACAGAAAAAAGATCCTCATGTGCAGATTAACAACAAGAGAGAGACAGCCATGATGCAGTTCTGTCAAATTATTTCCACATGGGAACCAAGGCCAGTACTCTCAGTCTTCAGATTTTTCTTAAAGTGAATCTGAAACCCCAGAACTTTAAATAAAAGATCCAATTTTTTAATAAGTGGTGACAGTGATGTCAATTAAATAAGTTTTGTGCACGTGAAACAAAGCTCATCTCCTGGCCACATCAGCCTACGGCTGTCCAGTTTGTAGCCTCTGTACCGGAGTCTATTTAAAAGCAGACACGTGAACAAGAGAGTTTGCATATATTAACTCAGTTTAATCATATCAATTCTTAAACAAAAAATTTCCTCCAAGAGACAATAGTTCACAGTAACTGCAAAGCTTACTCACAATTTTTAGAAACACCAGTCATGCTCAGCATTCAAAGAAGATATTGTAGAATAACCGTAAAAACTTTTACCAGGAACATCAGCTTCTGACTTTAAAAATTACAAATACCGAAGCATTTTGGTATCAGACAGTAGGTTTGACATCGTCTGATCATCGGATGAGTTTCTGGAAGTTTGGAAAATGGTTCCTTTACACTTGGGTAAAGCGCTTACTCTAAACTAAACATTTTCAAATGTAGAAAACAAACTAGCAGGCTACACATACAAAGGGGCCTCTCGGACAAGCTCCCCGCGCACCACGGATCCTGGAAGACTAGGAGGGACACACAGGGGCCTGAAGCCCGGGCGCGGCCACGGGGCGCAGTCACTACACGTTAATGACAAACTCTGGGTTAGTGTAGGAGAAGCCAGCAAATTCATTTTGGTCCAAGTTCATGATGAAGAGTTTGTCAGTGGGCGTGAGCTCCACAGGCTGTCTGGTGAACTCTTTGTCGAAGTTGGAGGTGTCCCGCTTGTCTCTCTGCCAAACGGAAAGCACACACGTTAACACAGCACAGAAGCAGGCGTGACCGCGCCGAGCCGGTGGCCCGGAGCCCACGGACTCACGGGCCGCGGAGGGCCCGCTGGCGGTGCAGCAGCTGCAGGGCCCGTGCGGCCCCGGCTTTCACTTCACGTCCTACGTTGGCTTCGGGAGAGAAAGTGTGGTGGACATTTTCTAAGAAAGGAAACGAGACACTGACTTTCTTTCAGGACTCTCATCAAGCGTGGAGGGGGCTCTGTTTTCTTTCTGAGCCGGGAGCTACTTCCCACCCTGCGTAACGTCATGGTCAGCCACTGGGCAGGGTGTCCCGGAGCAAACCACCCGGAGCGGCCCCTGGGCTAGGACGACCCCTGATTTAAGGAGAACAGCTGCCCGCCTGCTCAGCTCCCCCACGGCAGAGCGGCCTGTGGGGAAATGAGGTCGCTGCTTAATGAAAGGAGCTGACCAGGTGCACCCCACGCGCCCTGGGGAGACCCAGGCCTTCAAGGGAAGCTCGAAGCCACCCAGACTGGACCGCAGGCCTCACAGCCAGGGGGCCTCCCCAAGGGTGACTGCAGCAAGTGTCTAGGGGCAGCCTTAAAACAAGCAAACACAGTTCTGTTTCCTAGGGAAGCTGGCATCTGTTGGCGGTGGGGGGCAGCAGGTTTTACCAGGAAAGAGTGCGGGCTGGTAAAAACTCCTCCCGTCCTCGCGACCCGCGGGGCAGGGAGAGCGGGGTCCTCAACCCCGACCCGGGTGAGAGAACAGGCTCGGAAGGCGCAGTGACTTGCCCACGATCCCACAGTGGGTTGATGGCTTTTACCTGACCACGCTGCTCGCGATATGTCTCATCTCAGCCCCTCTGAGTGGGGAACAAGCCCGAGGACAACCCAGGCTGACGCCTGGGACTCGCTGGTGCTGGGCAGGCCGCCTGCCCGAAGCCTGACTGTGAAGGGGGCGGGTCAGGGAGGACCGGCTGCCTCGCCGTCGCTGGCCAACCACCACCCAGGTTTTAGGCTCACTGGCTGATAAGCGCTTCTCATCACTGGGCTCACTCCCTGTTGCAAAAGACCCTCTCACAAAGATCCCTTCCTCCTGGCCGCTCCCCGGAGATGGATAAACCGCTCCGCGGAGCGCTCTGCTTCCTCGTGTGCACGTGGGGGGAAGGGGTGAGTGGGGCATCGGGGTGCACGTCCTGCTTCCTCGTGTGCACGTGGGGGGAAGGGGTGAGTGGGGCATCGGGGTGCACGTCAGTGAGTAGCGGGAGTGGCGTGGCCGGGCTGCCCGCGGAGCTGTGCCGGCGGCGGG